GTAACTGGACCCGTGTTCACCGTCGTTGGGCCTTACGACAATGGAACAATGTTCTGTTTTCAGATGAGTCCAGGTTTTGTCTGCAACATGGTGACGGAAAGCGCAGAGTGTGGAGGCGACGAGGGGAGCGTTTTGCGATCTGCTGCGTCGCAGAAAGGGACCGCTTGGGCGGCGGAAGTGTAATGGTTTGGGGTGGTATTTGTGGGGGGACTCGTACTAGACTTGTTGTGTTAAATGGCAATTTAACCGGCATTCGATATCGGGACGAAATTTTAAGACCAGTGGTTCTGCCATTCTATAGACGCCATTGCGTTGGCCATTTTTCAACAGGATAACGAACCAGCGCACACCAGTCGCGTCAGCAGAACTTTCTTGCAGCAGAATAACGTACAGGTGTTAGATTGGCCATCTAAATCATCTGATTTGTCACCGATTGAGCATGTCTGGGACGTTCTTGGGCGACGCGTGAGAGAACGTCAAAATCAGCCGTCAAACTTGCAGGAGTTGCCCAATCCTTGATCGCTGAATGGAACATCTCTTCTCGAATTATCCGCCGGTTTACGAGTGCCATGCGACGGTTAACGGTGGCCATACCCGTTACTAATGGCGTTACCTTTGAAATTGACCCCAACGTCCTTTACAGTCGAATGAACCATGACTGCAGTTTTATGAGAATTGATCAATTACTTTATTCGTACATGATTGGTAAGGATTTATGAAGGGGTTAATTAATTAATCACAGAATAAAGTAGTGTTGACTTTCTTTTTTTGTTTAGTATATAAAAATACTAATTGATACATGTAGACAAATCAACGTTGATAAAAGTAGCCGTAATATGAATGACATACAATATAGTCTTCTGCTTCATCGACGACACCCGATATGTAAGTTAAATCATAGTATGTAATGTGAGGTTGCCGAATACTAACAAGGTATATACCAAGGGAATCCCAGGCATACTCACGAGTTTCAAACACGTTAAAATTCAGGAATGGAAGGACACGTCAGCTAGACTTCTGGATGCCTCGAGTTATGTTAGTGGCGATACCACATGTGCTAATATGATATATGGACAGAGAACACCAGCTTGGACCTTCAACATACAGCCAGTTAATATTCCAAGGGCTAATGCAAAGCCAATGATGCAAGAAAGTTTTCAACATGACCCAACCGTTGTGAGAACTCCCTAATAGCAAGTCAACAAGGATTAACTATATTACATACAACAGCTTCATCGAGTCAATATGACAAATATAACAGAAAAAATCCACACCGGACAAAGTATAAATGATACCTGACAGCCTTCCACAACTTCAAAGTCTCCAATCAATCGTGAATTGACTCTGAGTACAGGAAGGCATGAAGATAGTGAGTATGTCATTGAACCACACAAGCTACGAGAAAGCCTTCAAAGCTCTATACACGTACATTATTACCATATAGTTGGAAAACTGTAGAACATGGAAGGCCGAATGTTTCAATAACAGGTCCTGACTCAAATATCGCCGATTACATGCAGTTTAATAACATAAGTGAACTCAGAGATTATGTTGCACCAGATACACAGTTGGAGTGCGTAAGTCTACACATAAGACAGTTAGACAATATAATGACGTAACAAGTATTAACAAGGAATCTTTATCTTCTATAACGAAACTAATAAGCCAACTGTCCGATAATGTCACGGATGATGCATCGATTGTTGGAAATGACTTAGTTGATCCTACACCAACACATAAGGATGCAGTAGCCTTCACGAGTTTGACCTCCAAACAACCTATTACTGGAGATAAGCATCCTATTGTGAAAGGTGAATATCTGTGTAGTGAAACCACCGAACGAATCACTTCATATTGCAATATCTCAATCAACATCGACATACACTATGCTGAATACTGAGGATAAGACGAGTACAGCAAATTCATCAAACAGTCAAACTGAAATTGAAAAATACACTCACATTGTCTTAAAGACATCGATGAGTGCATTAACGACAACAACGCTTATATCAAGAAAGTATATGTAGAATATTTCCAATTATAGCCTTGTAACAACCTTACAATACCCCACAACCTTGATTAGTTTGTGTCTCAGTATTTTGAGTTTATTTGTAAGTCGCCAACATATTGTATGAAAATCGTGATACAGGAAACTCACCTTTAAATATCGAAGTTTTGGGACGCTGGATATTGTTATCAAGAGATGGAAAATTTACAATTAGGAAATTGACACCAACACGTTTATCATACAGATTGTTGTAGAACTTTCCTTGTTGGCTTCGTTGCAGAGAAAGATCGAGGTAAACGGGCGATGCAGAAAAGTGTCTAGTCCCCTTGATTTCCAATTTTGTGGGTATATAAGATGAGCATCGCCAAATAAATTTCCCGTTTTCTGAAAGTGAAAATAGACTTCGGAAGGTCTTTGTGACTCATTTTGATAAGCTCTGCCATAAATTAAGCATCACAGGAAAACAAAATAAAGGCAGACAAGAGAGGAGCAGTTTGTTTCTGTAGGTACAATCTCAGTTGGAAAATCTTACCACCAAACTCGACGAAAAAACTGTCAACCCGAAAACGAGCATACTTACCATTTCGTCTTACGTATAATAATTTGGTTTGGACGTCTAAAACAACCATACATAAAAACTTAGTATACCTTATCTTCTCGAATGCAGGATAAAGCAAAGATTAGGATTTCCTTGTCTTTGTCTCATGACAAGCGATCTACCCAGCGAATATTTTCTAAGGGAGACTTTTATTTAACTGAAATTATACAGGAAATAGCCCATAATGTGGTTGAATGTGACAAAGGTGTATTTTGCTTCTACGGCATTATCAGTAAATTTTAACCTGATCTAGTCATTAAGTACAGAATTGTGAGAGACAAGCTTGTATCTAATAACACTTCATACCATGAGGGAAATGGCAGTCATTTGTTGGTGGACTATAGCCATTGTTATCAGCCCAAAACAACCATGGTTTTTCGTGATGCAGCGAACTTCTCGATCTGGCTCTTTTGTGAAAATTGGTTTAAATTGATTGGATGTTGTGGAAATTGGTTAAAATTGATTGGATGTTGTGAAAATTAGTTAAAACTGATTCGATGTTGTGGAAATTGGTTGAAATTGATTGGATGTTGTGGAAATTGGTTAAAATTGACCTGGGTGTTGTGGAAATTGGTTAAAATTGATTAAATGTTGTGGAAATTTGTTGGAATTGATTGGATGTGCCTGCTTTGAATGCCAATGGTGTAGTGATCAATATTAATTGTATATTTGATGAACATGGAATACCAGGTGGGAAGTGCAGGTCCATTGGACCTTTTGTTATTATTCTATAGCTAATATCGAAGAATTGAAAAATGTTACTGTTCCAAAGAAAAGATAATGTAATACCTGCTTAACAACAAGTTTGAAGCATTGGGGATTGAAAAATTCTTCACTTCTATATACATCAGTTCACATAAACGAAAGGATGCTCGCTCATTTACAAATTATTTCAGAAATTAATCAGTTATTTTCTATCGCCAAAACAATTGCCAAACTCGAAAATCTATCGCCAGTTTTGGGAACCGCTTGCATGATCACTGCATCATGCTTTTATTGTGTCTCGTAGCTTCATTGTTCATCTTGTTCTCATTTGGGGACACGACGTTACTTACTTGGATTTACTAAAAATCTCCACAATATCTAACATTTAGTATATTTAGTATTTTATAGGGAAAATTGTTTCTATAGCTAATAAAGAATGCTGATATTGTTTCGTTAAGGACAGGTCTGTAATGGGTATTGAATTTGAAACCTTACAGTATTATTCATTTAATAAAGCAAAACGAATATCACGAGTCCCATTGGTCTGTTGTTTGGGCGGGGGATTTACAGTATTTTTTAAACTTAGGTTTTCATGTCGAAATACCTCATCATTTCTGGATCAACAAGACTAACAATATTATAGATCCAACAATCAGTCACTGAATGTATGCATATGTTAATATCATATTCCCGTTCTATAAATACAGACGCAATGTCGTTGTCTTCATCTACATTTAAACACTATACCAAATATGTTTACTTTAATTAGACATTACAGAGAATCCAGTTGAGCTGGAAAGGGTTGTCTGGGAATCCACGCCTTGCTCCTGCTGGGTTCGTTTGCACCAACATGTAAAAATTACACTTCATGTAGTGACTAGTTGGCGGTGACACGCTTCATACTTCAAGGTCGTTTACTGCGTTTAGTTTAGTAGATTGCCAATATTATGAATTTTATTGCCCCAACTGTTGCTTATTGAGAAGACGTCGTTTATATATTTTAATATATTTGACCCCTGTGACCTTGAAAGTGGGTCAAAGTCATTCATTTGAACAAACTTGGTAGCCCTTCATCCCAGCATGCCAAAGGCCCAATATCAGTAATCTGAGCCTTTTAATTGTTGAGAAGTTGTTTAAAAATTTTAACATATTTGACCCCTGTGACCTTGAAAGTGGTCGAGGTCATTCATTTGAACAAACTTGGTAGCCCTTCCTCAAAGCATCCTACAGGCCCAATATCAGCACCTATGGACTTTAGCTTATTGAGAAGTCGTTTGTATATTTTAACATATTTGACCCCTGTGACCTAGAAAGTGGGTCAAGGTCATTCATTTGAACAAACTCAGTAGCCCTTCATCCCAGCATGCCACAGACCCAATATCAGCATTCTGAGCCTTTTGGTTGTTGAGAAGTTGTTTAAAAATTTCAACATATTTGACCCCTGTGACCTTGAAAGTGGGTTGAGGTCATTAATTTGAATAAACTTTGTAGGGCTCCATGCCAGCATGCTATGGGCCAAGTATTAGCCCCCTAGGCCTTCTAGTACTTGAGAAGAAGTTTTTTTGAATGAAAAGTTTACGGACGACGCACAGCGGACGGCAGACGGCGGACGAAGCACGATGGCTTCGGGTCAGATGACCTAAAAATATGGTACCCGATCCTGAGGACAGTATTTAAAACTGGAGTATATTGCATTTCAAAATATTTTATTTCCCAATGTTGCTTAACCCCTTGAGATTTGGTAGACATCATGTATATTATCAAAATATAATCAACAGGTTAAATACTGCTATACTTTGGTGTAACATGAGCGATGTGGCAAAAACAGATACAATAACAAATATATAGGGTGTCACAACAAATATGGAGATCACTCTGAAAAATAAATCAGTGGGACTAAACAACTGGAACAGTACATCAAAGTACTGTCATTAATGCTGTATACCATGATCTGTTCCTTAAATACTCAATAAAAAATAAAATTCAATAATAAACAAACGTCTGATAATAGAAACAACCAAAACATCAGAAGTATCGACATAAGTGTAAACAACAATGAAGGATATTACAAAATATCCCGAGAAGGAATGGGCTGCAATACTTCAGTATAAAATCAACGTAGAATCAAGTTCAGTTTGTTTCCAATACAGGATATTTTAAACACTTTGGAATCATAGATCATTACAATTGTGGTGTTGGATTATAACATAGATATATATTGGGTTTATCATAAAATTTGAGGTCTTGATTTTTCCAGTGTTTATCTGTTGTTGAAGATATTTAAGGTCGGTGCTGTAACCACATAACCCGGGAGAATTTTCCTAATTTTCATGACATGTAGGGTAAAGGTTTCCTTACAGATTTCATGTTTGGAATGTTGTAGAACCATTTTTATAGAGAGTTCCCTTTGACACAAGTTGTAACAAGGTATGTGTACTTAGGAATCGAGAAACATACATTGAAATACAGTGTTGTAATGGATTTAATACCAAGCTTATCCAGACTGGTCAAAATCATCCTTAAGCATCATGAGAAGGCATTTTAATGAATTATGTCCATTTATATATATCTTGATCCTTATGCACCTGCTTCTGAAACTTCTCTTCAGAAAGTTCAATTGCAACATGACAGCTGTTCAGTAAGCACATGTAGTGGTAAACACCAAAATATTACGATATATTTCCAAATTTAAATCATCTGTTAATATTAATTGTTTTAAGACATTATAAAGATGTAACCTTACAAAAATCATTTGTGATTGTGAGAAATGTCACAAATTGAGGTTGCCTCCCCTTAAAGAGGTATGAAACTAATGTTTGACGGACAGTTGGACATAATTCAATATAAAACAAATTCCACTGTAATATCGTAGTAGACTTTTGTGTTTTGATATACTCTGTTGTTACCACTAGGTGCACTGAGGTGCATACTATGAAATTCTGTAGATTTTGTCCCCATGTGACATCTTATTTGACACCGTAATTTGGTTTGTAGCATCAACAATTTCAACATTTTCCCATTGCTACTGCAGATCTCATGAGTATAACTCTGGAAGTTTTAGGCAGAATCAAAGAAAATTTGGCATGGTTGTTATCGTATTAATTAGCCATTCTCACATGTTTTAGGTTACCTGTGACGGTATCTGACCAACATTGTGCCAATAGCAGTACATCGACACCAGATCACCCATACACAAATGGCTACATGTTACCAGAATATTGCATAGTTTCCCTAAAAGGTCATGAATCCAACTCTAGAACCAAGGGGACAAAATCCATGGTGCCAGTGGTTCACATCAGTGTTGTCTGAGACCCGACTCTTTCAACGCTGGAGGAGGCAAGACTAACACAGTCCACCTCATTCAAACAGGTCATCCTCCGCATGTTTAAAGGCACAAACCTCGGACGGGAATGGGTCAATACATTCATTTCAGCCCCTTCCAAACAGATCCTCCTCTGTTTTGCACCTTGTACAACTGTCAAGATCCACACAACCTGGCTACACAACAGCCGGTTAATATTGCTCAAGTCTGTTCATCATTGAGTTTTTCTCTGACCAACCCAACAAATCAACAGTGGGCCTCAGTTACTACACCTCAGACTCAAAGGAGGTCACATCTGGTCACAGGAAACCCTATTTCTATAAACTTTAATAGGATTTAATGAAATTTTTATTCTATCATTTGTATTCTGTTGCGTAAATACAAATTAATTAAGAAGCATAATTATGTTTAATTGAACTTTGACTACATTAGATAAAAGAAGTACTTGTTTAAAGTATAGAAATATTAGGCAGTTCTAGTAGGCTTCATGACTTAAGCAGGTCATGATATTGCTAATATCAGGTTAATATCACAAAATCTAGTCATCTGATAACACTTATCTTCATCATTTCAAAGTCTAAATATCAAACAAGAGTGCCGTGGACACAATATACGCCGCCACAAAATATAGATCTTACAAAAATCAATGAACCGTAAAATCGCCCCTTCATGCATATTGAACCATTGTATTCATGACATTGAGCAAGTTTCGTGAAAATCTGATGATTGCTTTAGGAGGAGTTGCATTCACAAAGCTCCACTAAGAGCAAGCTACAGATACAAAGTTGAAAATGGCATCAATATTACAAAAATCACGAACCAAAAAATTGCCCTTTCATGCACATCTACCCATTGTAGTAGAGACATTGAGCAAGTTTCATGAAAATCTGATGATCAGTTAAGGAGCAGTTGCATTCACAAGAAATGGACGTACGGAGGGACAGATGGAGAAGATGACACCAATATACGATCATCTCCGGCGGCGTAAAAAAATTAATAAAAGTTTTCAGTTTTCTACTTTAAAAATGTATCTTTGTCAAAAGTTATCCTATTAGAATACTTCTCTGGAGTATTCCATTTTGAACACATATTCATTAAATACAATGCAAAAAGATCATTCCAAATTAGTGAGTTTCAGCAAACATCTCAACAAACATTCGCACCAACATCATCCTTTAAAAGTTGTCATGGAGACAACCTTTCAATCACCCACCCATCATCTGCCAAATGTGTTAGTTTTGAGTCAATAACTTCTCCATCCCTCTGACGGCGGAACTTCATTCGATCATGAAGGCGATTAGTCTGTCCCTGCCAGAACTCAAAGGAACTTGGTTTTACTAAGTAACCTCCCCTGAAAAGTATGAATTACAATCAGGACAGTGATCGGGAGTAACTAAAGCCATCAGTTATAAAAAATACATCAAACAAGGAATTGGTTATTTTTGCCCTAAGGACAGGGAAATGGGGCTCTCGTATAGTGAATGATCACACTTAAAAAGAACAATACATTTGTAAGCATGCTTTTATGTTATCTACAATGTCACATGATTTGCCACATGCCCACAATGTCTACAGAATGAGCACATGATAGTAAAAATGAGTGAAATTTGTTATCGAACGTCTGTGATGTGTGATTCTTTAGTACAGATGTGTAAATGTATCATAGTTTATGTAAATTTAGAACATAAAATTTGTGTGGGATAGAATTTATTTATTATCCAGATATATACGCATATTTTTATACATTTCCTTATCAAGTCCTATATATAGCAGAGATATTATTAGCTCCATCAGACACTGACTTGATAGTTATGTACACTCATAAGAAAGTTTTGTTTACAAATTGACCAGTCTTAGTGTACAGAACTCAATGTAAACATTACAGGTACCGTAAATTTGCGGGTATAGTGTGCACATGCAGGTACTTTTTTGGGGTCAGATTAAAAAAAAAAAAAAAAAGTTTTCTACAGGTTGATTACTGGTATATAAATAACCACAAGAATGAATCACTTACAACCTTACACTGTCAGGAAATTTCATTTACATTCCTTCTGTATTTGTCTCATTTTCTTATCATTTTGTAAGGAAAATATAAAAGATATAGAAAATCTGAAGTGTTGTGTTTGTTTCACCACAGATCCATATCGTACTTGTGTACACACAAAGTGTGTGTGATATATGCACAATGTGCGCATGAAACTTTTGGTGTGTTGTGCGATTTCAATATTGTAACCATTGGAAACTAACATTTGCATTAATGTAAAATTGAACTTGCTAATCTTTTTCATCAATCTATATAAAACCTGAAAATATTGACTTGTTATGAAATTAATGACCTAAACAACAGGCCCACAAGGCCTGTATTGCTTACCTGGATCTGAAAGTCCAAGAAAAGATGAGTATTTCAAATATTTCTAACTTAAAGCTGTCAATTAACCTCTTTGATTAGGCAAGACCAAGGGGTAAATTCTTATATACTTACTTTCTTTTTTGATTCGCAATAAGAGTTTATATTTTTAATGGGCTGGTATCCCAACTATATCAAAAACATGAAATAATGTCCCTTGAGTTGTACCACACCCAAAGGTCAATTCTTACATAACAAATGTGTTTGTTTCTTGATGTGAGGATTTCAACTGTTTCAAAGATATTACCCACAAATTAAGCCCAGAGGGGAGGGGTCACACCAAAGGGTCAGTTCTTACATGGTGAATGTGTTTTATCTCTTGATGCCCAACATTGCCATATATGGCTTAGGGGTAGTGGTCTTAACTGTTTCAAGAAGGCTGAGATCCACTGTTTATACAGATTGATTTCCCTCCATCAAACACGATTCACACCAAATTTGGGCAAATCCAATCATTCCTACAGGAGTGGGAAGTTGACGAATTTTGCCCGTGGGGGCAGAAATCCACCATTTATATAAAACTTCCTAAAAAGATGCTTCTGACCAAATATGATCAAAACCCAATCATTCCTACATGAGACTTCAGGATTTTAAAGACCTCACAAATTTCCCCCTTTTATGCCCCTAAGGATGTTTTTTTTTTACCAAATGTGGTCGTAATCCCTTCAGTTGTTCAGGACTAGTAGTATTTGTAGAATAAGTTGACAGACGCCGGATGGACATACAACAGATGCTTCGGTATCCCTATAGTTTATGTGGCCCTTTGGGCCAGGTAAGCTAAACATTTGCTCTATTTCTCATATTGAGCCCCACTCCTCCCATCCAAGGAATCTGAGATCCCCTGTTTATGCAAAATTGATCCCCCTTCACTTAAACATGATTAAGACCAAATTTGGACAAAAGCAAATCAGGAGTAGGATTTTTACAAATCTGCTCCATTTGGTCTATTGGGCCCCACTTCTCCCACCACAAAAGGCAGAGATCCACCATTTGTAAGAAATTGATTCCTCTTCACCCAAAGATGCTTTAGACCAAATTTGGTCTAATTACTGGAGGAGTTGGATTTTAAAGGACTTGTCAAATCTCCCCTTTTGGGCCCCCCCCCCCTCAGGCCCTTTGGGCCAGGTGAGCTAAAACAGGAAGTTGCCCAATAACTTCCATACTATGGTCAGTACATCGGTCACATCATATCCTTCATACACACACTGATGGTTTCTACCTATCTTGTAAAAGATTTTCTGTTAAAATTATACTTATACTCTTAAGAAATATTTTCTGCTGAGATCATATATTTATCTATCTCATAGAAAAATGTTCAAAGTCTGTATAACAAACAAATATAAAGAATTAAAATGATACAAGAAGTCCGATTCCCTATGATAATCTAGTATCTTCTTTTATCATAACTCTTTATCTGTAGCTGTATCTGATACATGTTGTTTATACATCTTACCAAAATTCAGGCTTTGGAATAATTTTGTTTTCGTCTTTATATTCCTCTTTCAGTTCATCATATCTGTCCTGTAGACACTGTAAAAGAAAGGTATCAGTGAATTCATTGTCAAGCTTTTAAATAAGATACAGGTCATTCAATGAGTGGAAGTATTTCAACAGTAGTTTGATGCCATTCATCATTTCTTTTTCAAAAAGAAGAGATAAGATATTAATGTATGGTACAATTAGAGTTCAGATGTGTCCTAACAATATCAAGCTGATATACTTATTTAAGATATCTCAATAATACCTAGTAAATACATACAATGATTAATATTCATATCAATGTAGTCAAAAGAAATTCTTTACACATGTTTAATATAAACCAACCTTAAAGTAAACAAGTGGTTAGTCACAACCAAACTTTTCCTAGACAGAAACAAAGACATTCAAAACAGAACTAAAATTATCACAACCTATCCTTTGTCAACTCATTTGTGGGTGTGAAACGAATCACAGTGATCTTGATTTTAATTTTTTTCATATCTGCATTTTTCACTCAGTGCTGGTCAACCCTACACACCACTAAATAACCTCACACACCACTGAGTAACCCCACACACCACTGAGTAACCCTACACACAACTGGTAAATCCTACACATCATCGATCATCCCTACACACCACTGGTCAACCCTACACACAACTAGATAACCCCACACACCACTAAATAACCCCAAACACCACTGAGTAACTCTACACACAACTGGTAAATCCTACACACCATCGATCATCCCTACACACCACTGGTCAATCCTACACACCACTAGATAACCCCACACACCACTAAATGACCCCACACACCACTGAGTAACTCTACACACAACTGGTAAATCCTACACACCATCGATCATCCCTACACACCATCGATCATCCCTACACACCATTGGTCAATCCTACACACAACTAAATAACCCCACACACCACTAAATAACCTCACACACCACTGAGTAACCCTACACACCACTAGATAACCCCACACACCACTGAGTAACCCTACACACAACTGGTCAATCCTACACACAATCGATCATCCCTACACACCACTGGTAAATCCTACACACCATCGATCATCCCTACACACCATCGATCATACCTACACACCACTAGATAACCCCACACACCACTAAATAACCCCACACACCACTGAGTAACCCAACACACAACTGGTAAATCCTAAACACCATCAATCATCCCTACACACCACTGGTCAATCCTACACACAACTGGTAAATCCTACACACCATCGATCATCCCTACACACCACTGGTCAACCCTACACACCACTAGATAACCCCACACACCACTAAATAACCCCACACACCACTGAGTAACCCTACACACAACTGGTCAATCCTACACACCATCGATCATCCCTACACACCACTGGTCAATCCTACACACCACTAGATAACCCCACACACCACTGAGTAACCTTACACACAACTGGTCAATCCTACACACCATCGATCATCCCTACACACCACTGGTCAATCCTACACACCACTAGATAACCCCATACACCACTGAGTATCCTTACACACAACTGGTCAATCCTACACACCATCGATCATCCCTACACACCACTGGTCAATCCTACACACCATCGATCATCCCTACACACCACTGGTCAACCCTACACACCACTAATAAACCCTACACACTAGTGGTCAACAGTAAAGGAACTCTAAGGAGTAATAGGGGACAATTTCTCTAACACTTACCTTCCTACTTTCCACAACAGTGCTCTGCTGACTGCTCATTGAGCCTATCTGACTTGTCCGAGGCCGGGAATGGAAATATTTTGCAGAATCTTCTTCTGATATGTGTTCAACTTTGCCCTCAATTCTCACCTGTAAATATAGTATCAAATTAGTTTAAACAAAATATAATGTAAGCATATCATGGTCAACTTTTTAAATCTTCCTTGGTGTGTACTATTGTAACATGTTATTAGTCTACTTCTTTACACACTTATACTCTAATAACTACACAATACCACCTGCTCTTTCTGATGGACAAATTGGCACTTTGAAGTAATAAACAAATTAGAAAATTAACAGATATATAACTTATGTCTTCAATATCAGTTTACTTCCTGGGAGAGTCAACATCAACAAGTAGGGCATGGAATACACTTCAATTTTTGTATTTATCCTGCAATAAGAATTATGTGTTACAGAATATTTTGGGGAAGGGCTCATTACAGGGCAATGGAATAGCAACGGTAAACAATGTTACTACACTATGTATGAACTAGGCCTTTTTGTTCATGAGACGAATTTGTTAAATATTTTAACAAATCTGACCCTTTGTGACCTTGAATAAAAGTCCAGGTCATTTATATTTACAAATTTTGTCAAGCTTCCTCATAGGAACATACCGGCCAAAAACTATGCTTCAAGATCTATTAGTTTATGAGAAGAACTCATTTAAAGGTTATGACAAATATGACCCCTGTGACCTTGATTATTGGTCAAGGTCAATTATTTTTGCAAACTTTGTCAGGCTTTCTCTTAGGAACATACCAGCCAAATATACAAAAATATTTTGTCCATTAGTTATTGAGAAAGTTGTTTAAAGGAAAAGGTTGACACTGGACAATGGACACCCACCGCGGCATCAACCCTTCAGGCCAGGTGTGCTAAAAATAACAAAATATTTATGTATACAACCTAATGATATTCCACATGTAAACACACAAAGATTTATCCAGCATAAACCGGTGACTATATCCATACATAAACATGAAGACATACTCACACTTCTTTTGAGAGGCTCCCAGTAAAACATTATAGCACAATTTGGGTTTTCACTCTGTAAAAACAAAATCAATTCAATTTTGGAATATGGTGTAGTCTTATTTCAAACCTTTTATACTGTCAAAAAAAGAATAAATACAATTTATAAAATGGTTCGTGCACTAATTATTGATTACACTGATCATTCACCCTCTTGTTTTTATAATACTTAACAATGTCTATTGTTTAATAGAAAATAATATGACAAGGATTAATCAAGATAAATGTTACTACCAGAAAAGTATTCCCGAAGATTTGGTTACTGGGAAAAAGTTATTTGATTAGAAATTTTACACACAGCAGACAGCACACGATGATGGACAAAATATGATGGCTATAGGTCATCTGCCTCTTTCGGTCCAATGACCTAAAAATGGAGAAATCATCTAAACTTTTGATGATTGGTACAAACATTTTTATGAACAACCTACCATTTCTGATGATTTGCGACTGCCATGGTTGGTGAAGAACTGGAACCCTGAGTGGTCGTATCCCTTCATCAGAACCATGCGTACAGAGGGATAACCGTCTCTACAAATTTCATGGTAAACAAACCCTAGTTGTAAGACTGAGGGGATATATACGGTTTCTTCAAGTAATGTGGGAAACAAACAAGTTAATCAAATGGGTGTGTCCATATTGCAAATGTCACAGTCACAACCAATTATTTGTGTTTTTTACCCTATCATATCAGCTGGTTGTAACTCTAAAGTAAATCAAAAACCACAAAAACTTCTGATGGAGAAGCACCATCAAACAGAAAAAAATAAAATAAAAAGACGTTTTACTGACAAGCATTCAAAATTATTTTTGATGTTTCAAAATTTAAATATCGGTATTGAGTCAATTCCAGACTGACCTACCATTGTTTGGTCTTTATTTGTTCTTTAAAAACTGGGCCTTTTCCCTTCTTTTCTCTGCTGTTTTTACTCATTATTGTATGAATTCTGAACAAGAAAATAATAATCTTAAACTGCCAAATCTAAGATGATCATCTGTCAGCCATTTTGTTTTCTGATCTGTCCTAAAATCACAGGCAAAATATGGACAAAATTGATCTAGCATATGAAATATGAGAAAGACCCACTAAGAATATCTCAAGAGGTGTTATGTTTCATTGTCAAGATGGTTGCCTGCCAGTCGTTTTGTTTTTCTGCTGAGTCTGAAAATCCGTATTTCCCAGGAAGTAGGGATAACAAGAACTGTTTTTTAGTGAAAAGGATGGATGAAGAGATGGACCTAAAATAGAAGAGATTTCAAAAACCCACCATCTGAGGGTGGTACATGGACTAAAAAGTTGAAAAAACGTTGGAATAATTCAGACTAATAGACACATAGGTAGTGAATTACTGAGCATTATAAGACACTCTATATCATACATACTTTGTAGAAGTAGCCAGAGCCATGGCATTCGCCTCCTCAATATGTGGGTGGGACCGTGCAAATTCAAACCAGTTCTGAAACTGCTTGAATGGATCTTTTGAAACTAGATCATCAAGGTCAAATGTGTCAGCTGTACTTCGATAAGGAGTCCGCATTTCTGTAACGAACAATGCATTGAAGTCACACGTTTTCTGTGTAAGTAGTATACTGCAGTATGTACTCAATCTTAGTGCTATGATACAGAAATATCACATTGACATCTGTTGGAAATATAATTCTTTTGGTAGACTTTTTGGTAACTTAACCATGTTGATGAAAGTCTCAATTCATTTCCGAAAGACAGCATCTGTCACGAGTCGACATGTTGTACGACATACATGTACTGGGTATAAATTTTAGTCTGTGTCTGTGATAATGTTTAGTTCATCCCGACAAATGATAAGAGTCAAAACGTATAACCTGCATCCACTACCTCAAGTTTTATTTATGTTTCCCGTAGGGTTCACAATTCCTTACAAGTTTATATCAAACATCTTGAGCTTACATCAAACATACAGCCATATTTTTGAATCCTGATTAGTTCACTTTAATTTCAAAATCTGACCCCAGAGATGTTATGTACTTACTTTCAATTGTACATGGTAAACATAAAACACCAACGATGTATACATACACAGTCATTCCGTTATATCTAGATATGATAGGAAATGTGTTAAAATCAATGATGTATACATACACAGCCATTCTGTTGTATCTAGATATGATAGGAAATGTGTTAAAATCAATGATGTATACATACACAGCCATTCTGTTGTATCTAGATATGATAGGAAATGTGTTAAAATCAATGATGTATACATACACAGCCATTCTGTTGTATCTAGATATGATAGGAAATGTGTTAAAATCAATGATGTATACATACACAGCCATTCTGTTGTATCTAGATATGATAGGAAATGTGTTAAAATCAATGATGTATACATACACAGCCATTCTGTTGTATCTAGATATGATAGGAAATGTGTTAAAATCAATGATGTATACATACACAGCCATTCTGTTGTATCTAGATATGATAGGAAATGTGTTAAAATCAATGATGTATACATACACAGCCACTCTGTTGTATCTATATATGATAGGAAATGTGTTAAAATCAATGGTGTATACACACACAGCCATTCTGTTGTATCTAGATATGATAGGAAATGTGTTAAAATCAATGGTGTATACATACACAGCCACTCTGTTGTATCTAGATATGATAGGAAATGTGTTAAAATCAATGGTGTATACATACACAGCCATTCTGTTGTATCTAGATATGATAGGAAATGTGTTAAAATCAATGGTGTATACATACACAGCCATTCTGTTGTATCTAGATATGATAGGAAATGTGTTAAAATCAATGATGTATACATACACAGCCACTCTGTTGTATCTAGATATGATAGGATATGTGTTAAAATCAATGGTGTATACATACACAGCCATTCTGTTGTATCTAGATATGATAGGATATGTGTTAAAATCAATGGTGTATACATATACAGCCATTCTGTTGTATCTAGATATGATAGGAAATGTGTTAAAATCAATAACCAATAATCAGTTTAAATTAAGTTTTTTTTAAGGTAATCAATTACATAATAGACTGACTGTGTGTTAATTATTCAAGAAACTGAACACATTCTCCATTGCAGTAATATTTTGTTTTTTTTTCTTTTTGCAACTTTAATCTAAACTTCTTCACTTACCTAAAACTTACAGAATGAATATTATTGGCCTTAGACCATTATGATGCATCATATGATTTTAGAATATTAAGGTACCAATGACCGATTGTGAAAAATTATAATTAATCAGATTAATTAATTATATCTTATCCATGGAATACATAGAAATACTAAGAGTTTCAGCTATAATATGTTCAGAGCACTTTGTTGTATTTAAAAAGTCATTCATCAGTGGCAGTGCCACAGTGAGACAACAGGTGAGAGTGGTCATGAGGTAGGTGACATATCCTGGCTACAGGGCCAAGACAGGTGTAAAAATTTTATCTGTAATTTAGCTCTGTAAACCACTGTAACATATCATACAACATTACCAAGGTATCCGTCCATTTCCTGCTGTATTAACAATCTACAGTTAGATCACCTATCTTTTGTACATTGGAATCAATCACCTTTACAAGTCCTCAGGGGAAAGTGATATGATATTACATGCCTACAGACATATAAACAATTAAGATATTTGAACTTACTACGTAAGTGTCATCCAAGACATAATATTCATTTCCATTTGATAGTTGTGCAACTAATTTTAATATAATACTTTAATAGAATACTATGTAGTTTCAAAGTTGTTTTTTCTTATTTTTTTCTTCTTCTGTTTTTATGAGTTTGGATGAAGTGAGAAAATTGACTGATTTGGAAAAAAATAAATTGCAAGTTTATAGAATGTAACAGGTTGGGAACATCTTTGGATTTGTGATGAGGTTGCACTGGAACTCCAATGCATCCTTTCATTACAGAGGTTTTTTTCCCTTCTGTATATGGACACAGTATTGCTTAAACAAAAAACTGAAATATAAAAACATAACATCCAGAATATGACCCGTCATATCTAAAGAAAAAACATAAATACAGAATGCAGTTTAGAGATGTCAAAATGGTCTTACTGCAAAACAATTTTTCAAAGATTCTTTAGAGATGAATCTTGATCTGGACACAGGTGATCGATGCAAATGATAATGAATAATAATAATTAGATGGATCCCATATGCATGTATACTTTCCAACAAAGTATAAAAGATATATCAGCCATTTTGTCCAGCTGTATAAAATCAACTATTCACCTGCATGACAAAGCACCCAGATAAATTTGGTTGCTGTATCATGTCGAGCTACCAGAAAGAATTAAAACTTTTGATTTTAACCATTGACCATAAAATATCATGACTACATGTTTCATTGTCAAATCGCGTATTTTTTCTAATATACATTTTCATATAAAACATCCTTCCAGATATCATGAAACCTATCAATACATCCTCAAATGCCAGTGTTTTGTTGTCATCTGCCATATGAATAAAATCAACCATGAAAAATAGCATGAAAAGATTTGAATTCATTTATGTATTTCAACTATTTGTTTGGTGGCAATTCGTTGAAAGAGTGTATGTAGCAAAAATGCTTCTTTCAGAGGGCCAAAATTATTGCGTCAATGATAATATTTCATTTGAAAGGAACCGGTTGTGACCAGGAGGGATGGTCAACACAAATAATATGTCCTTGACATTTATACATAAAGAGAGACACCTACAGTACTGTGCATAGTATATAGATGATAATAGTACAGTAAGAGTAACACAGTAAAAACGCGCTAAGAGTAAAGCCTTATGAAGTATACCAGCTATGTCCGACATGCCACAAACTGCAATTGTTAATTGTTTCAATGATGCAGTTGATAACCGCAAGAAGGAACTTCGCTTTAGTAAAACAGCCAGTTTGTCGTCTTATGTAATGGTGTAAAAACACCCTATGAAAACATTCGAGGTGTTCCGAAAGCAAAATGAAATCTAGAGCTAATAAGTGATTTATAGTAAGGGAAATTAACACAGTACTAGAAAACATGTAAAAGTCACGTGACTGTTTGTTTACATCAAAGAATTGTGGGATGTCCCGGCAAATTTTGATCACGTGGGCAAGCTTCCAACACGATAACGCGAAGAACCGACAGAAAAAGAAACATTTTTACAAGATTGTAGAAACCAGGTAAGTTAAAGGTTGTCGTGTGTGAATATTAAGGCTTTGATGAGTGAAATCGAAACGTTATTTTTATGTCATCCACAGAGAAAACGGTATTTCTTTTACCGTCAATTTTCCCGGGAATTTTTATTAATGATTTACATGCAATATGAGTGCGTGCTCGCGTGTTGATGCATTTTACTATCCATCTTTTAATCATATCTTAATCGAATAAGAACCGATCCTAGATTTGAAAAAAATAAGATAATGTTTTCGCCATACAATATAAGCATTGTATTTTCATGAATTAAAGCTTTCACCATATCATCAGATTATTCCACATGTTGTAGGTAAAAATGGCGAGTCATTATGAAGAACGCCGCAACAGAAACTTGGAAGACAACAAATTGATGGTAAGTATATAGGGTAAAATAAATATCTACTGTCGTTAATGTAAGACAATTTTAAGAATGCATTTTCAGATGAAATTTGTGTCATTAATAAAACGTGACATTTTCAGATTATAATAACGATTTAAAATTCGTATGCGAAAAACCCTTTTCCAAATATTGGTAGACGTATGGTACATGTCATATTTTCTTAAATACAAGTGGAAGATGTGAACTGTATAATGATATTTTATTGTCCCAGTGTGTGCCAATTTTAAAAATTTTGAGAGGTCATTTGGAAGGCAATAACTAGATGTTTATTGGTCCACAAACTCTTCATTAAAAACATCTACAGTTTTCTTCCCATCTTTACAAACGTTACAATATGTAACGGGACATTCTGTTAGGTAAACTGTGAAATATTACCAGACAGAGGAAACTTTTACTAGACAATCGTTTTATACTACTTCAGATGCCAGAAGTAAAAATCAAGATCATAAACCATAACTACATTGGATTTTAGTTTAATGCTACTTGATTCTAATGTAAAAGACTTTGTCTCATGCTGGTCCCTATAATTTAGATTCAAGCTTGATTTCCCATCCAAAAGATATTGCATGCCCATTGTATTAGTAATATTATTGATGGATTCTCAATAATCACTGATGTTCCTTTGTAAGTTCTGGGGTTCCTCAAAAGCAAAATCCGAATGTTACGACCATTCAGATGTGATTATCTAGACCAATTGGCATAAAGTTTGCATCTGCTAAACAGACGGTGATTCAGAATGGTGAACCTGCATGTCTGGTGAATTTGTGCATTAAACACAACTGTTTACAGAAGTAAAGGACATTGCATATATACAGGACTACACATTTTACTTGAACAACCAAACTTCACTGGACATGTTTGGCTTGGTTGTTCTTATTTACCTTTTAGCTTGTAGAGCCTGGTGAATAAGTGGTAAGATTTCAAATATGTTTATAGTTGTGCTGTCTGAATGTGCTTCAGTGTGTTTTTTTTTTTTTTTTACATGCATTTTCAGTTGGACAAACTGCTGCACGACCTAAAGGCAACCATACCAATAAAGGTTGAGAGAACAGTACGGGTGAGTTGTGCCAGCAGAACCATGTCATCCAACAAACAAAATTCATTCTGTACCTTTTTACTGGAATTTAGATGTAAGTGATGGGAAAATGATCAGATAAATCTAGTCGTTTTACTTCATCTGATGTGATAATCAATCATAATTTTTCATAATCGTTCATCGTTACCTTAGCATTATCTTAATATTATGTATAATAGAGATGCCAACGGCTGATGATATTCATTCTATGTAAATTCTCGGGAAATCGGGAGTTTTAGGTTAGGAAAAAACAAGAAAATATTACCTGAATGAAGAACACATGACTTCTAATGAACAGTCAGTCAGCCGATTTTGTAACTAACTACATTAAAAAGCCATCTGATTATAGCCGATACTTGATAGTGGATTTTAATTGATTTCCCATCACTTGAAACATACATGTACATGGTGTTCTGATCAATTCAGTCAATATCATATCTCTTGAATTGGAAAATCAGGTAAGGAATTCGTCATAATGTATCCTACATGATCCAAAAATCTGACATAAGAACATTTTTAGATGGCTTATTGACTTGTTTGATCACTCGGTGTTCCTTGAAATGAGAGTTCTTTTCACCCCACTAAAGGTGTTTGTACCATTAATTTTCTTGGGTTCTCCTACATATAGGGCATTCTAACAGATGAAAATTTCTATAAATCTATCTGATATACTCCATCTGAAATATGTTGGAAACACTCGATCATGAGACACACACTCTTCAACTGTTTGATCATTAATCTGAGAAAATTCATCCTGTATATATTACGCTATCTGTTTATAGAAAGCAAGGGTCACAAAGTCTGTGGAGAAGCTTCCAACAAGGAGAAACCCATCTCGTCATGCGCGATACACATCAGCGGGGCAGGAGCACAGCAGATACTCATCCCTAGACGAGTATGGAATTGCTCACAAGAGGCAAAGACGTGGATCTGTGTCATCATCCATATCATCTTCATCATCTGCCACTTCTCCCTCCTCTTCACCAAATGTAAACAGTGATAAACAGTCTTCAGAGAATTATTTTGTTCTGATATGAAATGAAAAGCATTGTAATTGAGGTTGGTCAGTTTACAGTTCATTTTCACGAGTCCTTTTCGACTTTATTGCTGAAAAGAATGGGTCCTGCAATGTAAAATTTTAAATACTTCCAGAAATTCTGAGTCAAAATTCTAGGAGCAATAAGAGTAATAAAATAAGAAAGTTATAGTAATTTTTTGTGTTTTTGTATACTGAGCTACTCTGTTGATGAAAACTTAATTTTGTGTCCTTAAAACTAAAATGTCATCCTTTCACAGACCATGTATCCAGTGTAACAGAACCAATCATGTAGAGTAGCCATTGTTTTGTAACAAATGCATGTTTTTGTTTTCTTGCAGAAATTGTTGGTAAGATTTGGGTTCTTCCAGAAGTCAAATGTACGACCAGACGAGACGGATGAAACAGATTCATTGGACAGTGACGAGGAAGTAAGAATTTTCACTTATTGTTAGAGAACGTATTAGGTGAACTGAATTTGTTCAGTTACAAGTAATGTGTTAAGCTTGGTTAGCCAGGACTGTGGCCAACTTGTTGGTATTGGAAATCTGTATGGTACATTACAGTTTACACTAATCTTATATAAATAATATGATTTTATAATATGTAAGAATGACACGGATTGATGAAAGAAGCTCTTTGTAGCAACAAAGAAAAGTTCATGACATTCATTTTTAATCTTTAAACTGATTATTATTTCAATCTTTGAAGTGAAACACTTTCCTTGCGTTTATTATTAATGAACATTTATTTCGACATGTTATTTAAGACATGGTCACTGGAGATCATTTCAATGTTTTTGTATTCATTTCCCAGGAAGAGGAACTGACTTTACCCAAACGAGCTCATAGAATAATTCATGACTCTCGTCCGGCAGAAGACATCACTGAGGAGGATTTAGGAATGGTGGCAGAATTTGTCAGCGAGAAGAAATATGACAGCTTCTATGTATGTTACTGGCATGGAATATATAATTAACAGTTGAAATATAGTTGATTTGTGCAGATCTTGGTAAGGATTCCTACTTTTTATGTAAGGGGCATGTACAGTTGTATAAATCAATATATTTAAGAAATATGAAATATTACATCAGTATCTTAGTAAGTTGGTTATATGTTGTGTTACAGGGTACATCCTGTCATCAGACAGAAGACTGATTAAAGTTGATTATATGTTGTGTTACAGGGTACATCCTGTCATCAATGTAGACAGAAGACTAACGATATGAAGACTATTTGTAGGTCAGGACATTGTGTTGGAGTTAGAGGACAGGTAGGTCAATGTTATCACTAAGATAATTTCAGACAATATAAAAAAGTAAACCTTAAATTAAGATATATAATGCATATTTCGTATACTAGCATTGAGTTTCAGAGAAATATTACATCTCTGCTGTTCAAACTTGACACGATTATTTCAAGCCCTATGATACAGCTCTATGTCAAGGTCAGAGGTCAAAGGCACAACAGCTGAAACAAGTTGAAATTAGACTTGATGCAATTGTTCCTTCTGTGGTCTGTGTCTGAGGAACAGATATGGGGACCATGCTATAGAGGCTATCTGTAATTCATAACATAAATGTGCTCTTCTGTCAGAATATCTTTACGATTTAAACATACATTTTCAGTTCTGTGGTCCTTGTCTGAGGAACAGATATGGCGAGGATGCAAAAGAAGCATTGAAGAATGAGGTATGTATTTGTTTACATGTATTATTTATTTTCTTTATTTTACTCAAAACTGAAACTTTTGTTTTACTTAACTGGGGATATTTATCTTGCTTCTACTGTTCATGTGTCGCCTGTAGCAATGTCACCAATCCCAAACTATTGTTACTATAATGGTGGTGATATAGAGTAAATGTTTCATGTGTCGCCTGCAGCGATGTCACCAATCCCAAACTATTGTTACTATAATGGTGGTGATATAGAGTAAATGTTTCATGTGTCGCCTGCAGCGATGTCACCAATCCCAAACTATTGTTACTATAATGGTGGTGATATAGAGTAAATGTTTCATGTGTCGCCTGCAGCAATGTCACCAATCCCAAACTATTGTTACTATAATCGTGGTGATATAGAGTAAATGTTTCATGTCTCTCCTGCAGCAATGTCACCAATCCCAAACTATTGTTACTATAATGGTGGTGGTATAGAGTAAATGTTTCATGTCTCGCCTGCAGCAATGTCACAAATCCCAAACTATTGTTACTATAATGGTGGTGATGTAGATGTAAATGTTTCATGTCTCGTCTGTGATGAAGAGATACACTAGCCATAACTATGATGTTATTTATCTGGCGGAGACATATTGTAAATATTTGTATTGCTGTAATTACTGCCAACTACATGCTGTATGGATGTATTCCGCCATAGAAACTTCACATGACCTGATTACACCTGTGCTGCTGAAATTGATTGAATTGATTGATGTAAACTACAGTTTCTTTGTGGCTGTATGGATAGGCATGTAATGTATAAAGAGGTAAAATTTCCTTTCAACTTTACAGAAGATTGTCTACCATAACTGCTGACCAAAACAGTTTATTTTACTCTGTATACCAAGCTTTTGATGTATTTTGACTAATGTCTGTTTCTATATCCAGAGTTGGAGTTGTCCACCTTGTCGTAAGATCTGTAACTGCAGTTTCTGTAGAAAGAAAAATGGGAAGAGTTGTACCGGGATCCTCATACACTTAGCTAGGGAACATGGCTTCAGTGATGTCAATGCGTACCTACAGAGGTAAGATACTAGAATTTTGTAGATTGTGTCATACACTTAGCTAGGGAGCATGGCTTCAGTGATGTCAATGCGTACCTACAGAGGTAAGATACTAGAATTTTGTAGATTGTGTCATACACTTAGCTAGGGAACATGGCTTCAGTGATGTCAATGCGTACCTACAGAGGTAAGATACTAGAATTTTGTAGATTGTGTCATACACTTAGCTAGGGAGCATGGCTTCAGTGATGTCAATGCGTACCTACAGAGGTAAGATACTAGAATTTTGTAGATTGTGTCATACACTTAGCTAGGGAGCATGGCTTCAGTGATGTCAATGCGTACCTACAGAGGTAAGATACTAGAATTTTGTAGATTGTGTCATACACTTAGCTAGGGAGCATGGCTTCAGTGATGTCAATGCGTACCTACAGAGGTAAGATACTAGAATTTTGTAGATTGTGTCATACACTTAGCTAGGGAACATGGCTTCAGTGATGTCAATGCGTACCTACAGAGGTAAGATACTAGAATTTTGTAGATTGTGTCATACACTTAGCTAGGGAGCATGGCTTCAGTGATGTCAATGCGTACCTACAGAGGTAAGATACTAGAATTTTGTAGATTGTGTCATACACTTAGCTAGGGAGCATGGCTTCAGTGATGTCAATGCGTACCTACAGAGGTAAGATACTAGAATTTTGTAGATTGTGTCATGCACTTAGCAAGGGAACATGGCTTCAGTGATGTCAATGCGTACCTACAGAGGTAAGATACTAGAATTTTGTAGATTGTGTCATACACTTAGCAAGGGAACATGGCTTCAGTGATGTCAATGCGTACCTACAGAGGTAAGATACTAGAATTTTGTAGATTGTGTCATACACTTAGCAAGGGAACATGGCTTCAGTGATGTCAATGCGTACCTACAGAGGTAAGATACTAGAATTTTGTAGATTGTGTCATACACTTAGCTAGGGAGCATGGCTTCAGTGATGTCAATGCGTACCTACAGAGGTAAGATACTAGAATTTTGTAGATTGTGTCATACACTTAGCAAGGGAACATGGCTTCAGTGATTGTTATTTTATCAGATTATTTACTTGGGTTGTTTTTTTGACCGAGAGAAATAGAGCACGGTTATGTTATCAAATTTGTGAAAAGTATGCATTTTTTTACAATTATTTTAAACAATTGCTCTATTATGCTATGGGTTTTTTTTTTTTTTTTTTTTTTTTGCAGAATTAAGAAGGGGGAAGAAAACTTAAAGGAGTTATGGGATTAAACACTATGTTATGACCATTCCTTTTTAGGTCACCTGAGACAATCTCATGGTGACATATTGTAAACGCCTTCATCTAGTGTTGCGTATCCGTAAACAATTTAACATTTTCAACTTCTTCTCCAAAAAAAACCCTGATTCAATTTCATTAAAATTTTGCAGAAACCTATCTTGGTCTAAGATGAACCAAAATTGTAAATTATACAGTCCCAACCCCACAGGGGCCTGAAGGGCAGGGTCAGAAGGGGTCAAATTGACTTAAATTTCAAAAATCTTCTGAACAACCAGTTAAGGAAGAATCAAATACTCTTCATGAATGGAAGTATCTTAAGGTGCTTTACCAAAATTGTGAATTTTATGGCCCCAGGGTCTCACATTTCCCCATGGGGAGGGGTTAATGTTTACTATAGTTTATATAGGAAAACTAGATTTTTGCAAATAATTTCCATTAGAATAATTTCAAACTTGGTTAGAATTATGAGTGAAATATTGATACTGACAGACCCCCAGGGGGCTATTGGCAGGGCCAAATGAGTCAAATTGACTTAGATTTTTAAAAATCTTCTTCTAAACACCTAGATATGATAGAATCAAATGGTCTTCATGAATGGAAGTATCTTAATGTGCTTAAATTACCAAAATGAGGCTTGCATTTCTTTCAAGGGAGGAATCTCTTTTTAGACATTACTGTAATTTTCATATGAAAATTGCATTTTGGAGCATCGGGTTGGCTATTCCCGATTGGAAATCAGTATAGAATGACAGTTTTGAAAGTATGCATGTATTGACACTAGCTTTCTATATTCAGCGTCACAATTTCTATTTCATGACACTTGATAACTATCCTTTAACCTTTATATTCAATATTGCTTATCTCAAGTGACCTTCAAGGCTGCTAGGCCTCTTGTTTAAATGTTGGGTGTAATGTCTCTCAGCCAAGAAGAGTAAATATATAGGGTTATCTCCCTTTAATTGTTTCATGTGATTTCACAATGATTTTCTGATGTTAAGATGGATGAAGGCAGAATAATGTTTAATCAGACCTACCATTTAAATATTTCATCATTGTGACATAATATACAGGAGACTAGGGGTTGTTATTTGATTTTTCCTGTTTCATTTTTTCCAGCTTGAAGAAATAATTTTCTATTGCATGGAACCATTGTGGAAGACCACCATAATCTTGTAGAAACATCAATTTTGAGATTATGGGATCTGTACTACAATATAAAACCAAAACCACTGAAGTGGACAAGGGCACGTTAGTGCTACTTGCTGTATGCACTGTGAAAATTTGATCATATTTTTAAAGAACCAGACCCAGTCCTCGACTGATATTATTTTATATTTAAAAAATTCATAGTTTTCTATTTTTCTTGGGTAGCAAAAGTTCTGATTAACCCTGTTATACTGCAATTTTAAAGGAAATCGCTATCAATCTTACATTATAAATAGTTTTTAAAATGAATTCTAAACGACTCAGTGCTAATTAATAATTATGCGGGAAGTCCTGCCCTCTGACACATGTGCAAAGAACTGTAAATAAATCTGCCATCTCCCAACATGGCAGAAAACGTGCAAGGGAAGCGGGAAAGAAAACATGTTTTGTCGGACTCTGAGGCGAAAAGAAGAAAGATGACGCAAGAGTGTGATATATCAAAGGCAAAGATTTATATTGGCGAGCATACAGAAAGATGTAATGCTGTGAAGACCGAACTGAATTCAAAAACAAATCTCGAAGTAGCGGGTATTTTGCTCGACAAATAAGAACTCAATCCACAAATATAAAAATACGGCAATTAATCGTAGTTTTTCTTGTAATCTGCATGTTGATGTGATCAGTACATACGTTAGATGATTTCCATACAGGATATATAGAATATTGATTGCATTTATCGGTAAAATCTCTTTACAAGCGGTGTTACATGGACATACTACTCACCTCTTCCTCTATTTTTGTTATGGTTCTGACCGTGTCTGAATGTATCATGTGACTTTTCCTCATCAATATTCATATCCTGGTGTTGATTAATGAGACTAATTCCAATACCGATATCTCCGGTACCCTTTCAATTTCAAGTTCGAAACTTTATACAAGTCTTTATCAACATATTATCTATTAGTATACAACATTTCCAGTTAATAGAATATGAAAGAATATCTATAATGAGTGGGTCTGGCTCTTTAAATGTTATTATTTCTGTGTACACTTTTGAACAAAATTATGACATTTTTCTCCAGATAAGCTATGATAAGTTGCAAAAGTATTGGGAAAATTGATGCAGACGCCTGTATGCAAAAGTCTTGCATCTGATTGAAACTTTGCCACTTTGATGTATTTTCTTTATTTAGACATGTTTGCACCTGTAAACTGTTCAGTGCTAAGTTGATTGTAGATTGGTTTGAAGGTAGTGTTATCACATTCATGACATATTAATAGCATTGTATTCTACAAGGGTTATAGAACAGTAATTCTCAAAGATTTCAATTTAAAAATTGATGGTAATCTAAATCATTGACCTTTACAGTTGATATTAAACTCAAATTGCAACATTGACAATCAGTTGTACCTTCAGGGTCTAGTTGTATACTTTATATATATAATTTCCAATGCCTGTGTTGGTTAACACAGTTTCAGTGCCTGTGGATGTCTTGTTTGAGAACTAATAGATAAGATTGACTTTCTGTAGTGTTGGAGCTATAAACTTAAGGTGTTCTAGACCTAGTCTTTGTATATAATATCGTTAGATAAGACAGTTTAGAAAGTCGGCAGGAACATTAGAATTATTTCATAGTTTCTGAGTTTTGTCACTCTTTGTTGAAAAAAGTATCCTTCCTGATTTTCCATTTTGAAATAAAATTTTGGGAAATTGTTATTTTAGTGAATCGGCATTGATATAGATTCTGATGTTAAAATTCATTGTGGGCAAAAATCTCGCCATATTTTTCTAATGATCCATGTTTTAGTGTACTGCTACAAAAATTACAGAAAATACATCCAATTTAAGAATCATAGGTACTTTGTTATGAACTGATGAATTACTCCTAGTTTTCATTCAGTTACAACAAAGTACCTTTTGTATGACAGGATTTTACATGGCTGTTATTATGTTTCTGATGTGGACTAATTGGTGCTATAATTTGTAAATGGAAATGGCATTCAGTATGCTTTTTCTAATGACATTATTGTAGATATTTAAATATTGTCAAGTGACATTTAATAATAAACATATAAAACCACATTGATGGTAAATGTCACATATAATTATTTTCATATTATTGATATTAGCCGTGTACTTTTGTAAATAGTTTTTTTGTAAGTGATTGATTTGCTGATATGATTGTTATAAAGTGAAAGTAGAGCAGAGTGTAAAGATTTCCAGGGTGTCTGATCATTGATATGATAATATGTTACTCTTTTGTGTACTAGTACTTTTAAAGGAAGGGTGCCAATTTAGGCCATGCAGTGATAGCCAAATATTTTTGCATGAAAACACTTTGAAGTTGGTTACAGATGGTATGATACTTTAAACATAATATTTTGCGAGGGCCATAGAATGACAAAAATTTGACTTTTTCTTGCCTTAGCATGTGAGATTGTAATTATCCCCTGCCCAACGAAGTTGGCGAGAAATATTCAAATGGGTTCTGTCCATCCGTACCACTGGATGCTGCTTTCGGCATGATATCTTTTGAAAGACTGGTAGGATTTTGACTTTGGTTGGTACACTTGTTACCTTAATGCAGTGCCCAAGTTCGATTAACAGCGAATTCCGTGCATATCTAATGAGGCTGCTGTGACCTGATTGGCTGATTTCTTTTATCACTCTGGGATACTGCTTTCAGCAAGATATCTTTTGAAGGAACAAATGAATTATAAGTAGACTTGTTACCTCAGCCCCTTGTTTAAGTATGTTGCTCACTTTAAATGTAGATATTTTACAACAGGGGCGGGGGATCTAGATGACTTTGTCCTTGTTCACAATTTGATTCTGCATCAGTGTACTACCTGGTAGCCACACTCTGATATAACTGAACAAGTTATGTTACTTAGATAATCTTAATCATGTTTTTAAAATGGCAACCATGTGTACATAAGACTTTCAATGTTAAACTTTATACTGAAAAACTGTTGTATTTTTGTTACGATTTTAAAAAGTTTTAAAACATGTCCAGTTTATTGTATTTTGTCTACCTTTGTGGTTTTATCTTCATTCAATACAAATAAAGATTTTATTACACATTTATTTGAATTTTATTGTTGATGTACATTAGAACCAGTATATATTTCTGTGTATGGTTTCTACTGAAAGGCTAGCTAACCACGTGATATAGAACAACAGATCAGGATGTTATTGTTTACTTACATGGAAATTTTGACTGTCATCAGAATATCCTCTCATCTATAGTAGTATAACAATAACCAACCATGTTTGTGTCCTCGTCTTGCTCCAAAACTTATTTATTTTACATCATTTGACCCAAATCTTCAGGATGAGGTTTAGCCATTCCACTCTTGTTTCGTCTGTCATCCTAGCCACGCGAAAGCTTTCTAAATTTCAAGTTACTCCAGAGGGAATGAGCTGATTATTTTTTGTGTCTGTCAAAAATCCAATATGGCCACCATCTGGAAAACAAAATTAAGCCACTTCCTTGGTTCCATGGATGACATTGGGCTGAAAAATTGTGGGGATGTTGAAAAACTGAAAAGAAGAGTGTATTTGCCTTTACTTCTCAAATATTCTGCACCGTTTTTTCGCTTGGTTCTTGATCTTGGACAGATGAATATTTGGTTGAAATATAGTTACACTTTTTTTTTACTTACAAAAATTTTTTTTTTTTTTTTTTTTTTTAACGTTTTTTTATCTTTCAAATCATAAGCGTTTATTTCAGAACATTGTCAAGTGAAGGAATCAATCAATATTTCAAATTATTGCTAAGGAATTTTGAATAGGTACAATAAAATGAAAATAACATTTCCAGATTACTACTATTATTATCAG